CCCGTAGGCGCGGATGGACACTATGGACAAGTCGAGCATCAGCCAAAAACATAAAAACCCACGTCATACGCACCTAAACCCGCCATCGATGCATTGAAGCTAAGCGGCCGTCAGCAATCACATCGCTGCAGAAACTCAAAGGCTACATACTGCGCAAGAATTGGCGCCCTCGCCTTGGTGGTCTCACGCGTCACGGGCATCTGCGCGCGCATATACGTCGAGCCAAGGACCATTCCCCCGACGCCAACGAGCAGTCCGAAGACAAGGAAGAGAGGTGTGATGATGACGATGACCACGAGCTTGACGATAAGGCCGACGGTGAGTTGGCACATGAACTGCATGTCGCGAGGGAGTTCGGTGTCCACTGTAGGGGGTTTTCAGTAGTTAGCAGTGAGATCCAGATAATGAGAGATTAGGTGAACATACGCATAGCCATATCGGCGGTGAAACGTGCAAGTATTCTCGAAGAGGGTGTCTGATCGTGCCATCTGTTCCGGACGATGAGACGGCGAGATGGATTAGAGAGTAGAGAGTAGAGCGCGCCTTAATGTTGTCCCCAACACGCTGTCCATCAACGTGTCATGCAGGACCTTCGACACACGCAAACCCCCTAGAACAAGAATGAGATAGCCGACAAAAACAGCGACAACTTGCGCCAGAAGAAGTAACCCGTATACCCCAAGATACCTATGTATCCATCAGCCAACTCCCCAGCCCAATGAAGATAAAAGCCATAAAACCAACCCGGACACGTTGACCTCGCTGGGGTCATGGGTCTCATACTGTGACGCCCAATATCCCAGATACCACGTAGACCCGGCGTGGATGACATCCGCGAAGCTGACGATGGCGATCCAGGCGGCCAGAAATAAGGGCAATTTCGAGCCAGCTGCGGCGCGCAAATATGTGACGAGCGTGTCCCAGCTGATGCGGCCGACGTCAACCTCCTCAGCGAGGATGAGCTTCCCAACACTGGGTTCCTTCTCCGCTGCTTCGTGAGCAAAGTCGTCGGTCTGCTCCTCATCCCTCTCTATGAAATTCTGATCACGTTCCAGCTCTTGCGCGAGGGTAGTGTCATGTGTAACGGCGATCGCAAAATTATCATCCAGGGTAACTCGTCCATTCGAGACCGCCACCACGGCATCGGCGAGAGGCTGCGCAAGCGCGACGTTGTGCGTCTGGATCAGGGAGCGTTATAAGCATACCCTATCCGCGGAGAGACTAGAGCTCACCACAAGGAGGACTGTACGTCCCTTGACCAGCGATCCAGACAGACACTTCTCAACGATCCATTTCGCCGTATGTACACTGGGTGGACGCGAATCAGGACTAGCAACTTATCGTCAGACACAGATACACACTCCAAAGCAGCCAAGACATCGTCCAGCAGAAGAATGTTCGCGCTATCCATGATGTATCAGCCGATTACAAATTGTCGGATGACTTCGTCCATACCTCGAGTATACCGCCCTCGCGAGAGTCACGCGTGCCTTCTGCCCACCGCTGAGAGTGACTCCCTTCTCGCCGACCTCGGTCCCATCCTTCGCATCGAAAAGGGTGAGGTCGCGGTCCAGCGCGCATTGATACAGGACTGTCTTGTAGCGCTCTTCATCGTAGGGAGCTCCGAAGAGGATGTTGTTCTGCAAAACAAGGTAAGGTTACAGCGTGCTTGGTACAGGAAAGCGCACGCACCTTGATCGTGTCGCTCTGGACCCAAGATTCTTGCGCCGCATATGCAATACCGTGCTCGCGAGGAAGCTGGACCCAAGAAGCAGAGGTGATAGGCGCGTATCGCATTTCGCCTGGATAGAGCTTGAATCACGTGCTTAGCAGATCACGGTGGACTCACCGAGAAGAGCCATAAGGAGACTGGGGAATTTAGCTTGAAGGTCAGACGGGAAATAAACGAGACTAACGACGTCTTCCCTGACCCCGTTGGACCAACGATTAGGTTTACCTTCCCTGTCTTGAACACGACCTCTTCATCCGCACACAGCTTGAAGGAACCGACGTCGTCCGACCACGCAAAGATTACATCTCGGAACCCTACCACTCCCTCTGACGGAGGAGCCGCTGGAGGCTGGACGTCGCGGGATATGTCGAGCGCGTCTAGGAGGTCCGACTGAGAGTAAAGGCCGTTAGGTAATGACGTGCAATCAAGAAGAACGACCAACGTTCTTAAGGTTCAAAAACGCGTCGACGCGATCCATCGAGACCTTCGCCGTCGTGGCCGACGTAATAATGTACATGCTCAGGCCAATCATCTCGCGCAAAATGTCGAAGACAGTCATGGAGCTGAATACGATAGACGCGCTGAGGGCCTCTTTCATGACGAGGGTCTGCGGTGCGTCAGTGTCTCCTCGGAGGACGTTGGTGGAGTGCATACACTGTATCGGGGTGAGCTATCATGTCGATGCAAGAAATAAGACAAAACCCACTAGGTTGTGTACGTCGCCAGCATGACGACGACGGGGATGCAGAAGACGATCACGTCACTTATCTTCTCAGTGATGCGTCTGCGGAGTAAGACGGTGAGCTCGGCGCGGCGCTGTTGCGAGACCTTGTCCTTCATCTTGCGCTCCCAGCCGAAGATCTTGACCATCCGGACAATACTGAGGACTGCATTCATGGCGCTTAGCAGCGTAAGTTTAGCTAAGTAGGAAAGAGACGAACCTTCGGTGATGCTCTGTACTCGAGCGTCTGAACGGCGCAGACGTTCCTTGTCGACTTCCTGGATCATCTTGGCCGAGATTGTCGGTACGGGAAGGGTAGCGATGATGACGGCCAGGCCCACGAATGCACTAGGGACGTGGTTCATCGCCTTCAAGCATCGTATAAGCGAGGAAGGCACCATACCTCCACCCCAGAATCGAATACAAGAACGAGATGCCAATTATCACATTCAGGGGAATGAAGACCAGGATCAAGATGAAGTCGCGGCCGTTAATGATGTTCTGCAGATCTGTCGTCACCAGCGTATTGAGGCGGCCTAGGAAATTGTTTTTGTCGGGTCGACGCTCTGAGTCCTCGTTCGTTGACTGCTCGCCCAAGCCAGCCTGAATTCGAAGTCTCAGCGCATGCTCGTATATCAGCTGCGTGACGATAGCTTCTGCGCGGATGGTTGTACGCGTCTATATGGCAATTCGGTTAAGCGGAATAGGAGAACAAATGAGTTGCCTACTGCAAGATGAATATACCACTGCAGCGCGAAAGATCCTATCGTCGGCCCCACGAAGAGGAGGCTAATCCAAAACCACGGGCGCATCGTCATCTTCTCCTGTCCCTGCTCGAAGTAGCTGCGGCACAATCAGCGCGTTATAAGGCATAAACGACGAGACGTACTAGAGTATACGGTTTAAGCCCAGCGGCGCTGCAAAGTTTGCCAGGACCTGAATGACAAGAGAGAGTACCAAGAGCGAGTACTCAAGTCGGAAGACCCTCAACAGCCCAAAGAAAATATGCCTCCGGCGCTTGCCACCAAGTATATCGAGGGTCTGTAGTAAATCATAAGAATATCGATAGGCCGAAGGTGAGCCACCTTACTTCGAAGCTCTTCGCCATCAAATGCTCCGCGTCATCCGTGTCCGCGACAGGCGGCAGGTCATCCAGAGCAAGGTCAGGCTTATTCTTGGCCAGCGAAATGACAGGATTCAAGAACGAAAATGTCGCAACGGACAAGATGGACGCTTGTTGCTCTACAGTGGCAGGCCATGGATTCTGTCATGCGTTCAACGGTGGAGAATAAAGGTCATACGAACACGGCAGTACCTTCAGATTGACAGGAGTATGAACCCTCGGCGTAATCAACGGGATAAGAACGCCGTTCAAGAAAAGCAGCGCAATAATAACCCATAGAAGCGCATTTTCAGCCTCCGTAGGATGCCTATCACGCATGGCGAAGGGAGCAAGGTCTGGCACAGCAAGAACGCCGAACGCGATGAGAAGGAGGGCGTTCAAATGAGCGGTGGCAGCAGGGGAGACATGCAAGCGAGCGGCGGATACGAAAGCGAGTACACACGCGTAGCACTGAAACGACAGTCAGTCAGTAGCATGCATATGCACGGGGAAAAATACACTGACGAAGGAGGCGCAGAGTGCAGCGTCAATCCACGACTGCGAAATCGCAGCAGACGCAGCCGAAGCTCCCAGGAGTGCAACACAACCTATAAACCTGGCCAAGCGAAAGATGCCGACGCCTTTGAGGGCGTAGACCGACTTGTTGAGCACTGGCGACGCGTCATCCTTTCCTGTCATCCACAGACGGCAAGCAGCCTTGAACGCGAAAGAGACGATGGAGAAGAGAGACGCGTATACCACGATGAGCTCCGCATTCATCGGGGTCTGGAAATGCTTATGAGTATATATGTAGGCCGCTCTTGATGAACTACTCACTTATATGAAGGTGAAGGAAGAGAGAGAGACGCGTGTACCCGATACGCGCGTCTCTTCATGCCTCCGGATTGATGATCGCAAATTCGTGACCGTGTACTGATTCTGCTGTGTGAAACAATCCATCAGGAACCGCTCGTTGCAGCGGTCAGCGCTTCAGCGCCGATGCACGCGGAGCAGTAAATGTTATCGAGACCAGGTCGTCATCCAGACGGCCATTCTTCCCCTCAAGCTTCTGCGAAACTCGATGCCTCAGCCTTCAATCTGGATGTGGTACAGTGAGAAGACATGCGCAAGTCCGTGCTTAACGGCTCTGCTGCATGCCCACGATAGCAGTGGACCGCTAGTTGGGGAGTCGATGCACTGCATTACATATGTCGCTGGAGGTCCATGGTATGCCGTGAGAGTAAAAGATCAAGAAGTTGGGCTTGACTCCGATCACTGTAAGCCAGTTCCAGGATGACTGAAAGAGAGTTAAGTAGTGCATATGTGCACCATCAGATAATTACGACTGAAGGAATCAGTAGTAATGATAGTATTAGACCAACCTGAAGTGAAGAGGTGGTTTTGCTTTTGCTGGATATAGTCCTTTGCCACTATACACAACGCAAGTCTGTATCGATTAGGGGTTAAATCACCTCGTTGTGGATTCGCGTATTACATACGTACTCTGATCCGAGGAGCCGCCAGTTCGAATCCGGCTACGGACATTTTTTATCATTTGTTTGCCATGAACGCTAACGCGGAGGGCCTTGGACAGTGCACTCTGGTTGGACTCAGAGTGGATTCCTCCGTTGGATGCAAAAGCTGGATGAATGTAACGCCATGTAGTCTGATATTTCCTGGTTCTCCACTTGCGCCAAACGGTTCAACATTCGTTTTGGAAACCTAAGCAGAACTTTCTAAAGCCTCCGTGTGCTACTATTGTACATACTTACAGAGCCTGTGACTAGCAGACATGCGCCCATCAATAAATATCATCGGCTCTGGTATATACATGCTATCCTTGCATGCCGTCGTACACATATGTACGTGCACAAATCACATTCATAAATACAGTTATACATACTCAGCAGTTCTTGCTGGTCAGGTAGATCCCGTTATAGGGGCCGCGCTGTGGGCGTCTGTGAGCAAACTGCTCTAGCGCACATCAATCAGTAGACTCACATGGTCGGCAATGCTCCCGTCAAAGATGTTCGGAACGGTCTTGATCGTACAGTCGTCATCATCCGCGTTGTCGATGCCTGAAAGCCATTCCCGTCAGAAGGGACACACAATAAGGAAGAGTTGCGCAGCTTACCTGGACACACCGCCCAAACGCCCTCGTCCACAATATGTATCTCACCCTCCGGGTGCGCAAAGTTGAGCCCCCTCCCGGGCAGAATAGGGACCATATCGTGCATATTGTCGACCCGCTTAAAGGAGTCGACCTGCAGCGACGCAATCAGCACAGATCGCGCGTGTCCAACGCGGCCACGTACCGTCGCATCAACCGCCTCCGCCCACGCTTCATTACCTACACGCGGCTTGCCGTATGTCACGACGTTCACTGTCGCGTCAGGCAAGTTCAACTTCAGAAAGACCGAGTCTAGCTCCGCGAGCGCGCCGCCGAGCGAGTGGCCGACGACGGTGATCACGTTCGAACCCGACGAGGCAAGCAAGCTCTTCACGCTGTCGAGCACCGCACCCGCGGTCTGCGCTTGAGCGTCGCGGAAACCCTCATGCACCAGGACATCATCATCGAGGCCTGGGAAGAGCGTCTCATCCACTACATCTTGTGGGATGTCGATGTCGGTCAGGTCAGCCTCCCTGAAATTGTGCTTAGGACATAAGATATGAGAGACAAAGAGAGGAACGCACAGTTCCTTCGGATCGGTACCCTGATGAGCGACAATGATAGTCTGTAGCGACGGGGAGTAGCCGATGTAATCTGTGACATCGTCAGCGCAAGCCTGCATTCGTGACCCATTGCGACGTACAATACTGGATATCTGCGCCGTCCCCCCCGTTGGCAGACACCTCGAAGTCGGAGTTCGCCTCACAGGAGGCTAATATGAAGAGTCAGCACGACGACGGCAGTAAACACAGAAGCCAGCCGTACTCCCGCATTCCCAAGTACCGATGTTATCCGGACAGTACGCAGCGAGTGCAAAGTTGGTAAAGGGTGTAAAGCCGTCGATATCCTGCGTGCTCAGGTCCGTCGCGCGACGAACTGGTCGCGGTGCGGCATTGACAAAGAGTGGAAGTGTAATGAGTGTGATGAGCGACAGCATGGCGGACTAGCGCAGGCGGCTGGGCTCGAAGCGCGTTGGAGACGGGGAGGGGATGAATGAGGGGATCCTACCCTCACAATATCCCGCAATAGGTATAAGTATGCATGGTGTGCTGACTGTCCAGGCGCCCCGCGTACGCGCCAGACGGCCGATAACGGCCAGCCCGATGGCAGATATCCCTTTCATTGGCTACTTCAACATCGCGTAAGGAGACGGTGTGCGGTTAGAATGCGGGTAAGTATGGTCACAGGCGAGCAGGTCCTCGCGACGGGCACCGCACACTCTCGGGATGGTTGCGCGGGCGCGGGCTTGCACATGCGGGCAGGGACGCCGACGAGTAAAATGAAGTCGCGTACGCCGAAGAGTTGAGCAAGGTAAGTAACCAGCGAGAGGAAAGACCGCGCGGTTGGTCCCCTTACGTCTATATATGTCACTCTGTTCGTTGGGGAAGGCGACATCGTTGCGGATAAGCTGCAATGGCCGCTATATAAAGTGGTTAGACTCATGCTTGTGTAGGAGGAGGTATTTACCGCGTTAGTTCAGCAGCGAGGGTATTGACGGAGACTGAATAGGATCTGAGATGAGTGACATTGAATGCTTGAACGGCTTATAGGCTCGCCATGATCGCGTTTGCCGCATGTCTGCCTGCCTGAAGGTGGGAAGAAGAATTCGGCTCGTAAGAAAACCAGGGTAGATAGATGATAGACAGAGCATTGACCATACGCGCAGCCGCATTTGCTCATCCGACTTCCCTGTAGACAAACATCAAACCATGCGGAAAGTTCAACATGGACACGTCATGCGTACTTACCCGAACGTGTCGCACGGTTTCGGAATCCGAATATCCTTGGGTCTCCCGAAGGACCCATCCCCCATTGTCTAGAAAAATTTGGCAACTTCGAGGTAGACTTGGTGTAGACTGATGAGCGTTCAGGACAGAGAGCTTGAGCGCGAAAGTCAAAAGCGGAGTTTCAAAACGTGCCGTCGGTCACGTGAGGTATGGATGCAAATACAAGTCAATAGATGGCTCACTTGTCCCCTGTCAACAGACAGATGCGCATATACTACATATAGCCCATAGGCATTCGACCGTAGTCGTCTTCAACGTTGTACCCTTCAACATGTAATTGTGCTAATATAGATTCCCGCATAGGGACCAAGCTGGAGGAATTCAGGTCAGCAATCCATTGCGAGCTTGAAGGAATCGCGGGGACATACATGGTCGAGCACATTTCCCTCGAAGATATTTGGCACCTGTACGCCAAGATACACGTCAGCATCCTACCTTGCGTCGCACACCAAAAACTCGCTCACCGTCTGTATCGTGCACTCCTCGTCATCCGCATCGTCGTTCCCGGGGCACGCAACCCACTCGCCCTCCTGGACAATATGCACCTCACCCTCAGGGTGCGCAAATCCCAACCCTCGCCCGGGAAGGATCGGGACCAAGTCTACATCGCCCATAGCCATCAGCCCCACCTTCCAGCAAAGTGCACAAGCATCACCTACCATCCATATTGTTCACCCTCCTAAAGCTATCCACGCTCGCGTCGACCAGCTCCGCCCAAGCCGGGTTCCCCACACGCGGCTTCCCAAACGTCACCGCGTTCACCACCGCCTCCGGGATGTTCAGCTTCAGGAATACGGCGTCCATCTCCGCGATCGCGCCGCCGAGGGAGTGGCCGACGGCGGTGACGGACGAGGTACCAGAGGAGGCCATCAGCGCGCGCACGCCGGCGAGGACGATGTCGGCGGTGTCGGCCTGCGCGTCGCGGAAGCCGCCGTGCACGAGGGCGTCGGTCGGTGCGCCCGGGAATAGCGTGGCATCGAGCGAGTCCTGAGGGAAGTCAACATCGGTGAGGACGGACTCCCTGGACGATGTTCAGTCGTTGTCAAAGAGGAAAATCAAGGTCGCAAGACAACACGTACAGCTCGGTGGGATCGGTACCCTGGTGCGCGACGATGATCGTCTGAAGGGAGGGCGAGTAGCCGAGGTAGTCTGGGCAGCCCTTGCATGAGCGGACAAGCGATACTTTGGAAAGCTCCGACTTACAATACTGCACATCCCCACCATCCCCACCATACCCGTAGAGCTCGAAATCCCCGTTCGCAGTGCAGGAGTCTGCGCAACTCATCAGTACCCCATCCTGGCGACACCACCGACTGCAGCCACTCACCACCACACTGCCAAGTCTCGATCCCCTGAGGGCAGTACGCCGCCGCCGCGAACTCGGTGTAGGGCGCGAAACCCGCGATGGCGTCCGCGGTCAGCGTCGTCACGTCCCGGCTGACGAGCGTCGTCGCGGCCCGGCTGATGAGCGTCGTCGCATTGGAGACGACCACTGCCGCTGGAGCAGCGAGCGCGGTGGTGGCGAGCAGGACGGGCAGGAACAGCGACAGCATGGTGTTTGGCTTCGCTGCTGGCGTGCGCGAGGTGCTCGGGGATGCTCGAGGTGTTCGGGGACACTCAGCTGTGCGCATCCACACCCAGCGCTTATAAACGTGGGATCCCCGGCACGGCCAGCAGGGCGCCTGATACGCGCCGTACAAGAGATCGCCTGTCATACCCAGAGGGACACCTGACATGCAGCTGGAAGTTGCCCCGATATGCGCACCCGAGCGCCTGATCTGTGCAAGAGCTGGGGTCACCTGGCCTGCGGGGAGACGCGGTCCAGCATGGGCAGGACGCGGGGGATGACGCCGCCACTCGCACAGAGAAGCTTCGGGGGCCAATCAGCATCGAGTGCCTTCCGTAGGAGGAGCGTGAATGCCTTTCGTGAGCGGTCAATGAATTCCGTAGACGGACAATGTAGTGAGTGCATTGTGTCGGAGGAGTTTGATTTCCCATCGAATGGAGTGCCTTGCTGATTTCTTCCATCGCCACCCCGGACCCGTCGCCGCCCATGTGAACAAGAGTATTCTGTGGGGAGACGAGAGTATTCATTTGGGGACAATGGTCAGACAATTGCCGCGATGGGGAGGATAACCGTGGTCCGTTGACCAGTCGCGGTGAAGACTCAAACAAAACCCGGACCGTCCGCCAAGATCATGTCGTGCGTATTTGCCACCTCGGCGGCGAGGGTTCCCCAATATGTTGATGATACGTCGATGGCGGCGGGGTCCCCAAAGTCGATAGCGTAGTACCGAGGGTCGGACGGGGCGTCGGACGGGCACGCGGTATTCGAGAGCCGGAGGCGCGGTATTCGAGAATCGGAGGCGCGGTATTCAAGAACGGGGCTGGAACGGGGCAGGCCGCGTTCGTCTGCGTGGCTATGTTCGTCTGCATGACTATGTTGGAGTGAATGCGAGAGGCAGAGCGGAGGATACGGACTTAGCGGCGTCTCGAATTCGAAGTTCTGTCGCGCGACTAGCCTGAGTGTATGGAGCAGGCGCAACGGCAAGGCGACCACTACCCGAGCGGAAGATCATCCGCTACG